CCTCATTTCTTCTCTGACCTTACCTCCTACTTTCATTCACTCACTGTTCTCACCATACTGGCCTGCCTTTCTACTGGCTGTCCCTTCTGCTTGGAAAGCTCTCCCCCTACAGTATCCTGGCTCACTCTGTCACCTCTGTCAGGGCTTTGCTCAAACATCCCCTTCTCAGCCTGAACCTGACCATCCTGCTTGGAGTCTATCCTAACCCCTCTTTACCTCTTCTCCCTGGGTAGCAGTCACACATCACCGTCTCGCATCCCACGTACCTTCCCTACTTACTATTTTGTTCATTGTCTTTCTTCCCTCTCTGGAATAAAAGCTCCACAAGGCCAGGGATTTTTATCTCTTTTATTCCCTGTTGAATCCCAGGACCTACAAGAGTGCTTGTACACAGATGATGCTCAATAAATACTGAATGGATGAAAGAAGCGGTGTTCTCTCATTGGGTATGGAAACCCACAAAGGTAGCTAATCCATGGGAATGGAGCACATGGGCTGCGAACTGCTCTTACAGGTTGTGTCTTCCATCTGTCACGGTACCTAAAGAGATCTGGCTCAGTTTATCGATCCTTCTCCAAACAAATCAACAGTATAAAAGTTCTCCTTGAGAGACTGCAGAACTGCTATCCCTACCCCCACTTCCCTGTTTTTTAGGGCATTAGTAAGGACTTTTCCCATTAAAATGTATTTATTTCATAGGCAAATTTTTTTTCCAGATCTGCCTTCCCGTTTTTCTGGCCACAGCTGCAAAGTTTAGTATTAGTGCCAGAGGCAACCGATTAGTTAAAAAATACATACTCTGCTCTAGGCAGGCATCCATTTGTATTTCATTACAAAAGGATATTAAAAATGATGCCTTGGACTTTTAACTGTCTACAGCACAGCATATCTGTCACCCCTGTTTGTCTTGACAGTCTGCCTATGAGAGTGGGTAGAGCAGTTAGTGTTATTCCCATCAACACATAAGGGAGTTAAGGCCCAGAAAAGTTGGTAACATAGAAGACTCTTGGCATGATCGATCGCCTATATTTATTTTTTAAAATCTTATTTATTGCAAATCATCTCAAACCCTAAATAGAAAAGGCTGTCCTAGGTAATACAATTAGCATTTTTTTTAAAAGCTTCAGTGTTGGACATATTGTTGGGATGCTGAGCATCTGTACTTAATACCCTGTTATGACATTTCTTGCTGAAGTTGAGCTCTAATAAACTGACAAAGATAAACAGGATCCACCCATGCTGTGGTTTTAATTTCTAAGAAAGCACATGATTTAAGAAACTGCAGTTTTCCCCTAAATTTTTATCCACTGGTAATCCAATTTTAGACCCCCCAGCTGGTTTCTGAAGAAAAGTTCTACCTTTTCTTAAAATACCAGAAGGTTATTCTTAGTAAATAGCTTAGATGTCAACCCCTCTAAAAAATCTTTACCTGAAGCCCCCACGTCTCCTAGTAGCACCTATGCACGTTTTCCTGGTGTTATCCTGTATAAACTGCCTGTTGATCAGTTATATCCCTCAGTTAATCTCTATTTCTTTAGAGCAGGGATTAATCGTCTCTGAATCCCACGCTGCTAACACAGCTTTGGCACATGCTGAGTGCTCCGTATATGACGGCTGAATAAATGAATGAAGGGAGGCAGTCATCAAAGACAAATGTTAAGGGAGGGGGAAGCTACTTCACTCCTGATACTTACTCCCTTCCTAACACCCCTGGCTTCTCTCCACCCCCTCACTTACTATTCTCTGGTCGTAGAGCTTCGAAGTAGAAACTGGACATGATTAGTCTCGCCCACTCCTCGCCTGTTTCTCTTTGGGAGACAGGTGCTGGCGGGAAGCACACAGCCACCTGCATGTCCGTGCCATCAGCTTTGCAGGTGAGGGCAGACCCTAGGTGGGAAGGCCCCCGGTGGTCCAGCAGTGCCAGGGACTGGGCAGATATGTTGGTGCAATTGGGGGGGGTCAGTATTAGGAAACACATTTGCCCACAGTTGTAAACTAAATACTCTTATAGCAAAGGTGGTATTCTGTCTTCTATCTGATTTCTTCTTGCATTTTATTTATTAATTGATTTAGAAATCAGGGCATGGGAGACAACTTTTTTTTGATGAGGGGGCCCTTAAATCCCCTCCCAATAGAGACCAGTGGGATTTGAGGTTTTTAATTTGAAAGACTTCTCCTATGCCATAAAATGACAGCTCTCCCAGCTTGTCATTGCCTTATTAATAAAGCAGAAAATGGTACATAATACAACATGGTGAAACAACATATTACCAGGAATTTAGCACACCCTAGAAAAGCCCAGCAACAAGAGCTAAAATATATGATGATAAAAACCTTCCTGTGCCATCAGTAGAACATTTTGTTTTGTCTACATTCCTAGAATCCCATGATTCAAGAAGTATCAAATTATCTATACCAAATTTCGAGACTCTCTCTCCCCATATTCTCTTTTCTCCCCAAACTTTAAACACTGCTCTAACTGACATGTGACCACGTGGGTTGGATCTGCCACAATTCCCTCTACTGTTCTTCCCATGGTGCTAACAAGATGCCTGAGGCTGGACACGAGAGGATGACAGATACCTTGTTATACAAGCATTTGGTTCAATCCCTGGAATGGAGTCCAGAACTATGGACCCAAAGGCATCAACCTGATTTAGGGGGTGAATACTGTCTCCATGTCCTGTAGACATATTTCATCATTACCTAAGCCTAGAGAATCCCTAGGAGGGAGTTTTGGCAGGTAATAAAACGCTCCAATTATCAGAGCTGATCTCACACAACCCTGCCTTGTAGGTATTATCATGCACGTTTTACAGGTGAGGAAATTGATTCAAAGAGAAACACAGCTAGTTGAAAGGTGAGCATTTAGGCCCCTGTCCTTTAGACTTCAATAGCTGCACATTGCTGTTTCCATGCTTCCACGGTGCCTCAGCTGAGCCTCATCCCCGTTACTGAAAATCTTACTATGAAGCACGAGACACCGAGAGCAGAGGTGAAGGTATGTTTCCCGCAGAACAGGTGGTATATTACTACACAGCTTTTGAAGGACTGTGGCAACGTCCCGTACGGACAGAAAGAACAGGAGCAGAGAAATGGTCTGCAGAGGCATGTACAGGGCACATTAAGCATGTGGCTGTCAATCTGTAAGCCAGCATCCTCAGAGAGTAGACATAAGTAGAGTTTGGGGACAGTTATTTCTCTGCCCTGTTCAAAGATGTTACATAGATACACAATAAGCAGGGCACTACCATAAGCCTCTGCTTCTCAGAAGCTGTTTTTGTAAGCTGAGCTTCCAAGATCCATAGGCCAAGCCCGGCTTGCTTCCTGTGTCATGGGACACTAGGGGTTTTCTCCTTTTGTTGACAAGTGTTGAACCACTTCTAACCAAGAGAAGCAGATCTCTCCAGAATTGCTGCTGGACTCTCACTCTTTTTGCTATAGATACAGAATCCACATACAACACTGCTCACTTGTGCATGTATTATCCAAATGCATAAATACTAGACAGTCCAAAGCTCATTTCTGATACATGCCCAGGAGGGACTCTACCCAGTTTGGATTCAGTGTCCCAGAACCAAGTTCAAACATGGTATGAACAGAGGCTCTCTTCTCTTTGTCCTGTTCCCTCTTGTGTCCATTATCATTAGATTTCAATACTGAACGTAAGGAAGCTGAGAGGCCCAGAATCTTCACTCACTGTACTCATCTAGATATTGCCCAATCCCAAAGCTTATGTCTACAACCCCCTCCTCCACCCCATGCTCTCTTCTATTCAGCTCCTATTAACATTATCGTGGTTCAAATTCTTTTTTTTTTTTTTTTTTTTTCAGCAAATTATGGGTGTACATACGTTTAGGTTACGTGTGTTGCCCTTGGTTCCCCCCCCCCACCGAAGTCCGTGTTTCAAATATGTCCTATAGGTGGTTCAAATTCTTGACCTTAATGCTCCTTTCCTGGTCGGCTCTTACATCTTTTCCTCAGTAGATTCCTTGCCTCCATTCTCAGCTCCTTTGACGACTCCCTTGAAGGCTCACTGCTACAGTTCCTACCCGTTCCTGCACTTCGATGCCTCTCTGCAGCTTTAGGGAAGAAGCTCATCACACCGTCTATCAAGGCTGGGCCATTCATCCCCTGGGCATTCCAGCCATCACTCTTTTTGTCATGATTCCAGGCACTAATAAAAGCCACATTTGTGTGTTCAAGCTATTTCTATCCCCTTGCCATCTCTAAAACATCAGGAAATATCTGGAGAATTGTTCTCTCTCTAGTTCAAGTAATCATTCCCATCATCTAAAAAGGTTTTGAAATCCTATATTCTCTGATCAAATGTTCCCAGACTGTTCAGAGAAGAGCTAAGAGTTATTTTCTCTTTCCGTCCAATTCCACCCTCTGTCTCCCTCCCCCACCCCCGCCCACCCACCAAGCCCAGCCATGAAATCGCCAGGGCTATTGGCTCTGATCTTCTGCCAGACTCTTACTCTTGGCGAATGCTCAATGCACACACCTTCGAATTGATACTTTGATCTAGATTTTTTACATTTAATGTATGAGATATATAATTTTTATATCTCATCAAGTGCATTTCTCTTGGACTGCAAGTTCCTGGAAGGCAGGGCTATCCAGAGAAATGAGGAACTTTTTGCTCATCAAAATTTATGCAAGTAGATGCTGTCAGATGATCATGAAGATAGCATTCAAAGCCACTCAAACAATATGCAAAATGAAATAGCTTGTATTCTTGATTTTGGCCTTGGGCATGTAGTTACACCATGTCATCCCCCCAAACATCCACTCATTTCCACATCCGGTGTAGCTGATAGCACCCCAGAATAGTGTTCACTTTGATTTTGGCCTCAGCTCTGCAAACTCATGCTACACCCATGGCTGGGGATCTGTGCTTCTCTCTAGAGCCTATACAATGAGGGACCAAGCTTAGGTGTGGATTCCAGTGCATACAGCTTTAGAAGTGACCGGCGCGTTGTCTCAGCCATACTTACTTGGTGAGGTTGGGGAGGCTGCACCTCCTTCTGTTGATGTGGTCGGAGGCTTTGTGTCTGGCACCGGCAGAGGCACAGGCCTGGCCATCGGTGGCGGCGGCGGCGGTGGCAACATTGGGGTGGGAAGGAATGGGTTGTGCACCTTGCCTTGGCTACTCCCATTGGGCTGTAAGGTTGAGGAAGAAAAACACATACAGGAAAAAGAAGAAAGAGACATCAACCATCAGCTACTTCTGAAAGCAAAAGATTCATTAGGCACCTTTTATGTAAATTATTAAGTATTCTAGATGCTTGAATTCTTCCATAAGTCCATACAAATAAATAATTGTTGGGTTCTGTTCTTAAAGCATTCCACAAAAGTATATCACAGCACACATGCTCCATGCATCTGAAACTTATCTCTTGAACCCCATTGTCCTTCTTTGCATCTGTTTTCATAACATCACCTGCCAGTGATCACTCTGGATTTGTCACCTGAGTAACCAAATTTTGCTTGGAGTGTTTTGGTTCTGTATTAACTGCTCCTTCATCATCATGCTCATGACAATTCAATATTTATTTTTTTACTTGTATAAATTTGTGGGGTGCAAGTGTAATTTTGTTACATGGCTATATTGCATTATGCCAAAGTCAGGGCTTTTAGTGTATTTATCACTAAATATTTCTTTAATATCAAAGTGTTTTATGGAGTATGGTATTATTCTACTATGTTTATTTATCTATATATAATGAAGCTTCCTAAATATGCATTTGAAATAAAAAATAATATTTTATTTTCACTCTTCCAAATTGATATTATATAACATTTAATAAATGTGTTAAGGGAACATAAAAAATTTCTTTCACATATTGTAATAACATCAGGCACAAAAACTTTAGAATTCAGCTGTCAGAATTCTGCTAGGGAAAAATATCACTTCTAATTTTGCTTTAAATTATATAAGCATACGCCATAAGAGTCATATTTATTTGGCTGTCTGATATTAAAACAACCAATAACAGCCCTTTAACAAAAAAAGTTTCCCTCTAAAGAGAGCAATAAAATCTATTTTATTTTCAGGTTTTTCAAAACAGTTCCATGAAGAGACTTGCCTTAAGCCCTATAAAATTCTGATCAAAATGCAAAACTGGGCATTTGACAGTTATATAGGTCAATGTCAAGACTATTTTTTAAAAAAAGTTAAAAATTTAGAAGTCAGATGCTGGTGATCAGCTCAGTTTTTTTCGGTGTTTCCCAAGTGGCCTTTCTGACGGAGTTTCCAGACTTCCGTGACACCATTCGACCAACAATAATGGCTCATATTTAGGGTGTAGTTCCCAGTCAAAATTTGGTTGAAGGAGATCCTGCTGTCCCAGGCTTTCACGTTTAAGCTTAATGATTCTGCAGAGGCAGTTTCGCTCCCCTATCAACATTCACTTATATATTTAGCATTATTCCTCAACGACCACCTCCTCTGACAATCACAATGTTGTGTTTTCTTGCCAGCAAACTTGCCTGTGCGTTATTTCTGAGTGGGCTGAAAGTCCATAAGTGAATGCTTTAGAATAACCCAAGCATGTGAATGTACAAGCAAGAAGAAAAAAGGCACCATATTGATTTGTTGTCTAGACAGAAATGTATCTGCTAACACATCACCAGACATTAGTCAAAGCTGCCTGTTCTGGCGCAGAGATGCAGAATCAGGTATTTCTGCAAGGGAAGAAAATCAGTGATGGGACAGTGTGCCATATATCCCGAATTAGGCAGTAATAATTATAGCTAATCTGTGGCTTCCTGTGCAGTTATTAGGAGAAAGGAAAACCAAATTGGGCTTTATTCTAGTGATTATTTATTATTATTATTGGACTTGAGATACAGCTATCCATTGTAAACGTTTAGTTCTACATTTAAAATAAAATTTCTGATTTTTAAAAATCACTTTTACATTTGGAATGTTATTCCAAGTTATGATTATTTGGTTTAATTGAGGAAAAACAAAAACATTCATTTGGAGCTATTGAATACTGTTTAGTTTTATACAAAGATAAGTGGGAAAGATAATTACTTGCAGAAATAACAAACCATAATAAACTGTACTTCTAGCATCTTGAGTTCAAGTACTGGTCAACTTGATCTAAAGTGTTAGAAGGCTGTATTTTTTAAAAATATCAACTTAGTTGATCTGAAACATCTGTCCCCTTCATCTCCCTACATCTTTCTGCCACCCCAAATCATTATTTAAAATTATTTGGTCTTTCTATTTTGTTAACTGTAGGAGCCCTAGGGTTAGAATGCATGAGGTGGAATTATCGGCCCACAGAACTTAGGAGGTTATACAGTTCACCCTTGAGCTGATTTATATCCATAAACTTGACAGTTGCAAACTTAACACAAACACTGTTTTTAAACCCTGACCAATCACTCTTAGAGCAAGTTAACTTTCCCACAATCTAGAATAAATATGACATTTGCCTGCAGTTAGTCAGCACAACATTAGAGCACAATGTCACATGGTCATAAGGTCTCCCCTTGTTATTTTTATATTCGGCTAACATTTCTAAAGAAATTGAAAAAAAGAGGTTTCCTTACATTGAGGAACCCCACCTGTCCAGCCTGCTGACCAGCATCAGGGCAGACAAGTTGGACAAACTCTTTCAGCGTCTCCTGAGGGTGATAGCGGATGGCCGGGTGTGAGAAGTAAGGCCCAGGCTGCTGGATAATGGGTGATGTAGGGAAATGAAGAGTCGATGGTGTCGCATGCGGACTTGCTGTGGGAAAAGAAAACACCAGGGTTATGAAGAGAACGACCTGATTCGCCACAGCTGAACTCGATTCAACTTCCTTTTTTATGTCTTCTGGCCCAATCCACAGTCTTGCTCATGCGACTGAATTTAACACTAGATAGGTCTGATAGATTTTCTTCCTTAAGGCTCTAAGACAAACATGGAGGTTAGATTAGGGTAGAGTTTCAAGCTGTCTTTCTATATTCAGTGGACATGAGTTATAAAGGCATTAATAATCTTTGGTGAAGCTGAAGATTATTCATTACCTTAAGAGCCTTTTTAATGAAGCAAGCAATAAAAAATGTATTTGGTAGATTAGACCTGATTTAACTGACATTACATATGACAAATTCTAGTTTGCACATATGGATCCGCTTTCACGCTGAGCTATCCACGGACAATAATTCATTGTTAAAGCTCTTATACCCCTTTCAAGGAAATTTCTAGGGACTAATTCAGGATGAAATTTTTTTGAAGTATGTAGTAAATGATCACTTAATGAACCCGTGCAATTTGGGTGCCTCACTTTACATGGAAGGTTTATGTCGCCTTTAGATGCCATTTCAAAGCCAAACTCAGAAATGCATAGAGCAGGGGGGCCCATGGGGTAAGCAGGCAATGACCCCCGCTAAAATGCTGGCCCTCTGCCCATAAAAGCTGATAAAAGACTCAGACAACTACTACTCCCTTATATTTGAACTCTGATAAATTTCATTTGTACAAGATTACATTAGACTAAAAAAAAACTTATGTGAAGTGCTTAATGATTTTTCTAAGAGAACTTTTGCCCTTGAATTGGAAGGATGATTGATAAAATCAGCCGGAGGATAAAAGCAGCACATGGAAAAGGCTGAAGGTACTCAAACCAAGTCAAGCCCAAGATAGCAGCTCTTGCTTCTTATCAAGGGCCAGAGAAATCTCTCCCAAACCAAAGAGATGAGAGTATTTATCTTTCCTTTACTTTTTGCAGTTTAATCCTTAAACTCAAGGAGCCTCTGAAAAGAGAAAAACAAAAAAGCCCAAATTTTTGGAAAATAAGACTTTCCCAATACCAAGAATGACTCGTAATACTGAAGAGAAGCCCAGTAAGACAGGCCACCTTTTCTGCCACTATCTCACTAGCATGGCTAAGGGCTATAAAAAAGAATATATCCCCATTAGCTGCTGGGCAGGGGTTCTTTGTTCTCTACTGGGATCTGCTTACTCTTGGGGCATTTTCTGACTAATGCTCGAGATGCTAGTGGTATGTGGTTCTGAGTTGCATCTACAGTTTTTGAAGAGTGGAAATGGGGGTTTTGAGTGGAAGCAACAATCCAGTCCATGTCTTGCAGATGACCTTATGGAACCCTTTCATTTCTGCAACTTTTAATCTATCCAAAAAATGTTCATGAGCTCCTACTATGGGTTTGAGAGACAAAGTTGAGCCAAAACAGATTAAGCTTTGTTTGTGTGATTGAGGGCATCTAGAATATAACCTATTCGGAGAGCAATTTTTGTCACCTTCCCTTCTCAAATGTACACGTCTCCTGGTCTTCCCCGTCTTAGTAAACAGCTTTCCCGTCTCCACTGTCATATCCCCAGAACCGAGTCTGGTATGCAACACATATTTGTTGATGTACAGGAATGACTGAATAGTTGGTACAGAAATTAATAAGATAACCATACAAATAAATACAGAATAAAACTTTCAAAAAACAAAACTTGATTTTTCCACCTGGCAAAGAGCCAGGGAGCTTGTAGAAAAATTGGTAAAACTTAAAGATTTCACACAATGAATGATAAACCTTGGGATCCATGATCATTACCGAATTAAAATCCACAAGCTAAAAAGTTAAATGGCTTTAGTCATCTCTTGCTCTGGAAATTGTGCTATTGGCTTTAAAGAGCCAAAGAATTTTTTCCTCTAATATGGTACAGTCATCCTTACTGGTAGCAAGAAACTTTGATCCAGTACTCTGATAGAATAGCTTCTAGTTAAGGATAGAATGTATTTGCCAAGCTAGCCTGGGAATATACTGAGCCTAACGAAACGATACCCTCGACTTTCGCAGCATGTCAAACACAAAGGTGGCAACTTCACTGTCAAGAGCCCGTGGGAGGCTGACCTTGATGACAAAGTGGCATTCCTTCAGGTGTTCAACGAAAGTGATGAGCAATTGTTAGATTACGAAACCATGGTGGCCAGAGAATGTTGCCCACGAAAACATTCACTTGAGCAAAGATCAGGCAGATAAAAGTTAAAGAAATGTGATAAAATTCAACAGGACCATGGCATTTCCTTATTAATTGTTAAGAAACATCCTTGCCCTTATTTTGTTGTTGTTGTTAAATATGTAAAAGAAAATCATGAGCAACTTAAATTGAGACCTTAGTTTATTATATTTTACTGAAAACGATTTATTCATCTTTTCCTTGTGGCATACAGTTTATTTTAACACAAATGTAAGAACATATGGTACTCTATGGAATTAATTCTACAATGACAGATTTATAAGGATCAATTAATTCTTAATTAATACCAGGAAATCATTTAGCCTGTAGTTTAAAATTAGGCAATTGCTGAGTCTGCATTGTAAAGGGTCATCCTTCACAACCCCTATTTTCTTATGCTTAGGAATTTCTGGTTCGGTCATCAGTTCACTGCAGAACTGGATACAAATCATTCAAGATCCTGAGCTTTAATTTCTTCAAACAGAAAATAGTTGTGTTACAGACATCACAAAGCTCTGTTAATTATTATTAAATATATGCTGTTTCTCTGGATAACCTGCTATTCCTCTTCTACAGGACAACGCTACTCACTGAAACTCAGAGTTAACATTTCATCAATGCCTAACTTTTTCTTCTTTCTTCTCTATTTCTTGTTTTCTCTCTTTGTCGTGGATTCGATATTTTTAATGTACCTAAGCCTTTTTTTAAATTTTAGTTGTCTGAAGTTATCTTAGAAAGTGTCACTGAGGTTAAATCAATCGAACAGTAAAATTCATTAAATGTACTTTGAGATGGCCAGACCAAGCCCTGTAGAAGAGAGAAACTACCATTATCAATCTGGCATGATGATAATGGAATACACAAAGAATGGTATGAGTCCAGATTTTTCACGAAGAAAAACATGTCTTATGGATGTGTGTGAGTAGTTGACACAATAAAAAATTATAGCACATTATGTAAATGCATATTTAGATCCTTTAAAATGTGCATTATTTACTTGAGAGTCAATAAAGGCTTTTCTCAAGTGGTTACAGTTTATTGCAGGGCATCCATCTGTATCCATATTGATGTTAATACAATTTTGTGTATTAAAAGACACTACAAAATTGGCTGCTTCCGGCATCTAATACTCTCAGTACCCTAGGCCAGGAGCAGCAGAGAGTGTCAGAAAACACTCCACTCTGGTTGGATCTCAAGACTAGTTTAAACTTTAACGAGTGGCCAGACTTGTTTAGAACAACTGCTTGGGCTTTTCACAAAGAATACAAATAAGATGGAAAAGAAGGAAATTTGATCAGGTTTCTTTGGCTGGAATGGCACTGCCTACCCATTCTGAACAAAGTAGCCACGATTAAAGAAACAGAAAACCAGAATTTCCCAAAGGGTAGACAGTGCCCAGTTATTTATTCCAAAATCATCACATTACTGAGTACTTTAAGAAGAAGAAAGCAGACCAGGCAGGTTGGTTTGCTTGTTCACTCCCCTCCTCACCACCCTAGTACCCTACAATTCTTTAAAATACTCTCTTGGTTTTGGTTTGAAGGAGAAAAAGTTAAAAATTCAAACCATTGAATATGTATACGCTTTTTAACCTAAAAATGCATCCTCCTTTTAAAGCAGACTTGATAAAGACTGGGGAAGGAGAGGGTCAAGGTCATTACTCTATTCTTGTGTATGCTGGGAGACTTAGATAATCCAACAAGTGATTCTCAGTCTAAGAACCTACCACAGGGAAGAGGCCTTGCAGACGCATGTCTCAGAAGAGTCCGGGCACGGGGGACCAGAACCAGTTAGATCATCTGAGAGTGGGCCATATAAAAGATGATGGTATCAGGTGTGGCCAGACAGGCTTGGAATCTTGTGTTTTTATGCTTTTAACAAGTCTTAGGGAAGAAAAAGAGATAGAAGAAAGTCCTCTCTTCTTAGCATTTCCAGTGGTTTTTCTCAAGCTCAACCTCCAAGAATCCTAATAACCCTCCCACATTTTCCCTCAAACCAAAATTTCATGGGTTGAAATATGTTCTTCTGTATAACCCTGACATTGCCTTAATTGCTTTATTCCTTGTCCATGAACCGTTGCAGATTCTCACAGATTGGACAGAGACTTGGATTCTTTTCACGTTAACTTTTGCTTTCTGGCACCAGCCTTTAAATCCTAGTCTCCCTTCTATGGGAGGATCCAAAGAAAAGCTGTCAAGAGAGCAAGAAAAACAATAAAATCTAATCTTCCTTCAGGTGCAGCGTGCTCTTAAGACAGCATTATATACAAGCTTTTTCCCTCATTAGAACAAATGATCACTCCCCAGCCCTGACATCTGCAAAACTTCACAGTCTTACTGTGTATACTAAGTCAATACTAAGTCAGTGGCAACAGGTGAGATTCCAAACTGTTTCTCTCCGTTAGCACTGTTCTAAGAAAAAGCTACTCATCTGTCTTCAGAAGTAAGATGTTCTCTAGACGAAAATAACCATTTCCACAGAGTAAAGGGTGGCATTAAGAACCCCTGACTGCTCATATTTAGAAGTAAAGGTTTTTAACAGGGCAAAGCTCCAAAAGGAGAAGAAAATGGAATATAAAAACCCCCACTTAAAAAGAGAAGTCTTCCATAAGGGCAAATGGAACTTGAATGGCTTGGGTTGTCAACTGCTGTGTATTTTGCTTCTTCAGAAATTCAAAACCGCATTATATAACACCATTATAACCTACCTAAAGCTGAGAAATCTATCTTAAGGGTCCGCAGCTTTAATTTATAAATCATGCATGAATCAGGCCT